ACCGGCTGCCCTAATGGTAAGGCTTGATAAGGCTTTTCAGGCTGCTGGAGCAGTTTCCATCAGATGTACTGCCGTAGCACAGAATTGGTAATTAAAAAAATTCCAGACGCTGTGGAATTGTGACTCCTTTAATCTGCCTTAAGAACAAAATTATAACCTGAATGGTAGTGTTGCGTTTAAACATAGGTTGTTTATGCTGGAGTTATGTAGCAGAGAAGATGTGATGCTGGTTTATTCCTATGCTGAGGCTTTTATCTTTTTGAAACCGTTTATTTTGCTGAAGTAGAAAAAAGCCTAAACCCACAGGCCTATGACAGAATGGTTGTGTAAAAAGAGGTGTAATTCTGTCTTTACAACTTTTCTACCAAGTAGTGGAAGAAAGGTCTTGCAGAAAACAAGATTTTATTGAAAGACAAGTATCTTTGGTAATGAGGGAGAAGAAATATTTGTGTATGCTTATTTCCTATATGATCTTCAGCAAGGAGAATTTCAGTCATGTTTCATGACTTAATAAGGATTCTATGCCTTTTGTATGCTATAAAAGCTGTAAATAGGAAGAGTCTGAAACTGCCACAGAGTTTGTATATGAAAAGGTTCTATTTTGTGAATCTTAAATGACTGCTCATCCAGCCAATTCAGATGCTATTCAAACAAAGCTGCCGCTGTCCTTCCAGGTATAGCTTACTGTTTCATAGAGCTCTTATAAAAACTTGTCTTTTTAAAAAAAACCCAAACCAACCCACATAGAACTTCTTGTTTTTCTTTCTGACAGCTCTTCCCATTATGTAGTAGCGTTCATCTCTGGGAGATCGTAATGTCTGAAGAATAGTTTGTTGCCTCCTTCGATTGCACAAAAGATGCAATGGTTTGCTTCTTTACCTTTGTATAAACAAGTGGGATGTGATGTGTAGGCTGTACTCTCTGTTTTATTGCTTGATCTTTGGCCGTCCCCTCTGGAGGATGAAAACTGCTTCTGTGCACTTCCCCCAGACAGATAGTAGGAGACATGCGTGTAGTCACCACAGGAAGTCCTTTTTTTTGCACTTGAAACGAGTTTCCAAGTGTTCTAATAAGCTTAACTTGGCTGGGAAGGGCAGTCTTTGTTGAAACTAATTAGACTCTCTTTCTCCTCCGTCTTTGCAGAAGAATGGCTCCTTGTTGGTACCAAACAAGGGCATCTTCTTCTTTATAGGATCAAGAAAGACATAGGTAAGTTGATTTTAAGAATGGCACAAAATTATTTTTATTTCCTGCACTTTAAGAGATTGTAGTGGTGTTAATGCAAATATGTTTAGTTGATGATTTTTTACCTACCTGGAGTTTAATGGATATTTGCGAGGGATCTTTGGTGAAAGTGTACATACCATTTATCAGATGTGCAAGAAAGATAACAAGTATTATCAACCTTTTTTCTTTTTAAAGTATGTTTTATAGCAGGTCTCCATATGTTTGAATTTATAGTAAGTTAGTGTAATTTTTGTGAATACAGTGCGCATACGTGCAAAAGCAGTGCAGCATGCTACTTGCTAGAGGTTTGATGTTTGTCTTCTGTTAATGAAGGACTGGATTAGTGAAGGAGCAACTCTGTTCAGTGGGTCCATGAGCATCAAGAAATGGGGAAGAGGGATCTCTCCTAACTAGTTCTGTCATGTATTTACTCTTCTCCCTGCCTCTTTGACAGTCGTAAGTGCTCAGAGTCTATTCTGAACATGCCACAAATAGAATTATTCTATTTTTGGTTTAGTTAAAATCGATTTTCACTAAACAGATTTGTATTGCATATTATCTGCTGTTATGTAGAAACTGGTGTTATTGAACGCAGTAATGTAGTCAGTGTGGAACAGGAAAGGAAAAAAAAAAAACACCACACGTCTGCCTCCAGAGTTCATCAGCTCTTGGGAAGATGTTCATTTGTAGCTACTTGGATTCTAGAGACTGAATTGAACTTGCTTTTTCTGAAACTTGTAGGCTGTCTATTCCAGTCAGAACATGCTAGTCTTGAGTTGCTAGTGTCTTGTCTCACGTGGTAAATTTCTCCCCCTTTTTTGCATCAATGCCAGGAGAGGTTATGTCATCAGAAAGTGTCTGTAAGTCTTATTCCCTAAAACTCCTTTTAAACCCTTGTGGTGTAGTGTTCATTCCTTGTCTACTTTGCAGTAATGTGCTCCCTAGCAATTTAAATTGCTGATATTTGATTGGTGTGGATAAAGTCTTTATGGATATCTTTGTATCTCTGGGTTTCAAAATACTTAAATATAATTCTTGTAATCTAAAATTCCAGCAAGGCAAAAATGTAACTATTGATGAGGTCCTTGGATGGGTGCAAGAAGTGTAATTTACATTTTCTCTCGACTATGTAGAAGACCTTCTGATGCATTTAGCTATTAAGTAAAAGATAGCACAGATATGTTAGAAGAGTCATTCTTCTAGTGTTAAGTGACCAATTTTTTTTTTTTTTTTGTAATTCTTTGTAATGTATTTAGTGTAAGATATATTCAGCTATAAATTTAAGGACAATTTCAGTTTACGTACTCTCTCAAATCTTTCTGGTAGGTTGCAATAGGTTTGAAGTGACACTAGAGAAATCCAACAAGAACTTCTCGAAAAAGATTCAGCAGGTAGGAAATACCATCTTCTTGACGTGGAGACAGTTTTCCAGTGTTTTCAGCCAAGAAATGAAATATAAAATCTACTTCTGGAATCTCTATTAAACTTAAAAATTTTCCCCAAAACTGTAGATTCTTTTAGAGATGGCACGGCCTGGTGTTTTTGCCCACTCTTCCCAAAACAGGAATAAGCTTGGTTTGACTGCTAAAGCAGAAAGTAAAGAATTGGAACTTACATGTTTATTTTTTGGCTTTTAAGAAAATGCTGCTGGTAACAGTAAATCTTCAGCTGCTCTGACTGAGAATATTTGTAAAAATGATGGTAGTACATGAACAGACTGTAATATATAATTTGAGATAAAATTCTATAGGAATGTGAACGTAATTCTCTTTATTTGGAATTTAGAACTAAAGTAACTGATTATCTACTCCCAGTCTTACTACTGTTTAATTTTTGAGAGCTTTTGCTCATTGGTTATATTGAAACTCAGGAAAGCGTTTACTTCAAAGATTATGCAGCCTTTTTCAGCAACACCCTGCATATCCTTTAGAAGTACTTTTCTACAAGTAATATACTATTTATTATAGTATTTCTAACTAGCTTAGGTTGCAGGCTCTCTATGCTAGCTTGTAAAAACTGAATGTAAGTGAAAGGGGGTTACAATAGCTGGAGGAAGGTGTGCATAGATAGATGCCTTGCTGTTTTCATTATTTTGAGAGTGTCTAAGATGCATTTTCTTAGACTATCTGTAATCAAACCTTGTTCAGAGGTTTATTTTATGAATGGAGTCACTAATAGAATTCTTTATTTCAGATTCATGTTGTTTCTCAGTTTAAAATTCTGGTCAGTCTATTAGGTAAGTGAAGAAAATGTTGTAATATTTAATAACCTCTTTTCAGTGCAGTTAACTTGGCTGAATGTGGCATCCTTTCCAACACCTGCATAGTAGCCTAGTTTTTGAAAAGTCACTGTGTAGGATTTAGGCTTTTTCACTTTGCAGAGGAAGCATTATGCAGCATAGATTGAGAAGCAGCTTTGCTTGTTGTAAGCCAGCTTGGAGAACAAAGTAGTAGTGATACATTTTGTGATTAAAAATGAAAAAATAGATACATGCACTAAAGCATGTGTAAAATATATATATATCGGTTTGGCTGTATTGGCATTTGTACATATGCGTATACACGTACATGCGTGTGTATGTGCATGCATCGTATGATAAGGCTTAAAACTTCTGTCCAAACTTGTTGGATGTATGAAACTTACTGCTGATGTGTTACACCAAATTCAGTTTATATGCAGATGGTGATCTTTTGCCATCTTGTGGAAGATCTAAGTTTGCTTGTCTCTGGCTATATTTGTTTAACCTTATGATCTTCCTATGTGGTTTTTTTGCTTATATTGCTACTTCCTTCTTTGTGATTTCCAAGTCCCAGCTCTTCCAACTCCAGCATGTGTAGATTTCTGCTGCCTGCGTCCTCGTGCGTACCAAAACTTGACCACAGCACCCTCCATGTCCAGTCGTTCACTTTCCACTAATTTCAGGAGCCAGTTCAAAATGGTCTTTGCTAATACAGTCTTCCATCATGAACTTGCTCTGCTCTGGCCTGCTTGCTGTCCCTTCCACTCCTGCTTCCTCTGCTTGGTTAGCACCTGTTCTCAGTTCCTTAATTTAATTTTACCAGTGCTGGTGTTAATCTTGTTTGCTGCATTTTTTGTCTTGTGTTTGTATGTGCCTTAGCACTTACCTTTCAGCTTTTGGGAAAGCGTTCCTTTTTACTTTCTTGCAGCTCTTAGTTTCTCCGTTCTTTTTATGTAAATGTAAAATGTGATAACTTATTTGAAGTAGCAATGAACTCTACATGTATTAAATATTGAATAGTAATTGGAATTCTGTTTAAAACAGAAAATAACATTTATGTCCATGACCTGTTGACATTTCAACAAATCACCACAGTTTCCAAGGCAAAAGGTGCATCTCTCTTCACTTGTGATCTTCAGGTAAGAGGAAGAACCTAACGGCACAGATGTCCTTACTGTTTGTAACAAGGATAACTTTTTAATGTTGCTGTATAGGTTAAGTTTATAAATTTTGTGTTATATGCAAGTTGCTTGGGTACTAGTGCTTTTTAAAATTAGTACCTACTGGATGTCAAAGCTTTGCTTAAGGCAACAATTTTTAATATAGTCACCTTAATTTTCTTTCTGTGCTCCATAAGATATCTCCCTGTGCCTGTTGTGATTGTAGCCTTTAACCTCCTGATACAAAACTTCAAGGTGTTTTTATCCTGTAGTAACTTTGACTGTCTTCTTTCTTGAAAAGTCCTCTTCAATATAAAATCCATTCTCTTCCCTTAAATTGTCAGCGTACTAGCTCATAGTGATTCCCTCTGCCAAGCATCTCCATCACTGTTTTTGTTACATTTTTGTTTCTGTTAAACTGTATTGGCCTAGGGAGTCCCAGGGCAGTTGTGGTAGACTTGGGCCATAAAATGGTTCCATAAGGTATTGCGATCCTCTGTTCATATGCTGTGGTGACTCATTTCTGTCTAAGTGGGTTTCTCAGCCTACCCATGTCATTCAGAAACCTTATTCATAACCAGAAGAGATGGCTTGGTGCTTATCATCACTTTTTCTCTCTTTGCCCCATAGAAGCTTAGTGTTAAATATTTCTATTAAGTACTTAAGGCTTTCTAGGTGTTAAAACTAGTGAAGTCCTTCAAATCACCTTTAAATCTGGTCATTCCAGAGTGCCTTGTTTGTGCGTACAGGCACTTAGCTTTACTAGTGTTTCTTGTTTAAAAAATTTCCAATAGGCTAGAATATTAAACAGCTATTAATGTTTTTATCTGTCAGTATAACACATTCGTTGCGTTGTTCCTTTTCCTTCCCACTCCTATACTGCATAGAGTTCAAGCTATTTATCCTAGTCTTCAGGGCTGGGCTGATAGCTCTCTACTTATCTTCTGTTTATGTGTGTATGTCTTCAGTGCTTTTTCTCCCATGTGTATTTCCTTGGTGTCACAGTCCCTGCCAAAGTTCATTTTTAAGTATCCCACCCCGCTTCTGTGTGTGCTTCCTTGTTTAGGGAATGCCCTTCTGGCATGCGTGAACAAAGCTGCTTTTCAGCTGACAGCTTTGCTTCAGGCTGAGGATTCTTTTGGCCTTGTATTGCCTTACTTGCCTCTTAGTGTATGAGTGCCTGTGAGCTAGTCTGTTTTCACAGCAGTCAGATACAGGGGAAGAGGTGCTAAGAATGTGCGTGGCAGTGCGGAAGAAGCTACAACTTTATTTTTGGAAGGACAGAGAATTCCATGAACTACAGGTGAGTTGTGTTGTTTGTGTGGTCTAGCATGCCTCAGCAGGGAGCGTGGTTGCTCTTTACTGCTTGTCCCTACTCAGAGGCACTGCTGACTTTCAGAGCATTGACTCTGATTGGTTCTGCTGTGATTTAACAATGAAGCGGCAAATAAAAGTGAAAATACATGGTTGAAATCACAATTAATGGCATTAACACAGCTTCATAAATGAAATGAAAGGCTGCGTTCTGTATTTTACCATTCTGATTGTAGTATGCTTTTAAGTGAGTGGAATGTATTAGTGTGCAGTCTCTGTAAATGTATACCTAATAATAACGCCATAGAAGTAGGTCTACTTCTACCCAAAGTTTTCCAGGTATGTCATTAAGTCAGAAGGTAGTTACTGACAACAAGCACAGAGAACTACACTTGTGAATACCAGAATGATAAAAATAACCAATGGAAATGGGTAGAGAATTTTTCAGCTAGGCTGCTCTTCTAGGAAGTTACCAGCTAACTCGGAGCACACCTCTTCACTGTGCACGAATCTAGCCTTTTAGTTGAATACTGCTTTTCCTTGACCAGCAGAAGTTGGGCAAGTATGGTGGAGAATATGGTGTCAACAGTGCTGACTGTTACCCTCTGTTGCCAGATTTGACTTTTGCTTTTCTCTTGTAACAACAACCATTTTAACCTGTTTTCCTCAGGGGGACTTCAGCGTACCTGATGTACCCAAGTCTATGGCCTGGTGTGAAAACTCCATCTGTGTAGGCTTCAAGAGGGACTATTACCTGATACGGGTAAGACTGGGGTTTGGAATTCAGTGTTTAAGAAGATTCGGATAGCAGTAGACACTATGGAGTCTGCTCCTGTGCTCAAGGATTTAGCTACCAGATATGTATGAAAAACAGCATCTGGTACTCTTGCTATGTGTGGTTTTGGAGAGGGCAGTCTGTCCTTTTAAACTGATATTTTGTCAGGAACTGATACTCTCTTTATCGCTGTTGAAATCAGTATTTGAAGCTTTTGCAGAAAAAAGGCATTGGAAAAGAGATATTTTGGTTTGGCAGCATTCTGTGTAAGCTCAGTTTGCATTTTATTTACTGTATTAAGAAAGCAGATAGCTCTAAGAGGGGAAAAAGACCAAGAATATCTTCAGATCTGACAGGTGGTGGAGCCTAACAACTTTTTCTTTTCTTTTTTGATTCTCTTACTGAACTGCAGTCACTTCAGTTTGAAAGTCTCTAAACTTACTGTTATTAATTTAGTATTACAGTTTCCACTTATGCTTCATTAGACAACTATATTTGATTCTCTTTTCTGCCTTTACAATTGGCTTCTGCTCATATTATATGAAAATGAGATGAAGATGAGGTGCACCACATACATATGTGTACGTACATGGGTGGCAAAACTGACCTGTAGTTGGCAGGAAAACTGCACAGTAATTTTTACAGTCACTTCAGAGTAACACTGCTCACAAAAGAAGTGATGCTTTTCTGCAGTCCTCTTCTGCATGGTCGTTCTTGCCGTTCTATTTATACGAGTAGCTGTGCAGCTGCTCATGCAACCAGAGTGAAGACTTGCTGTCCGGGTGTCTACTTTGGGTTGACTCTGGTGTTTAACTGACCCATCCTTGAATGGTTTCATTTCACTAAATAGGCAGAAAAATATACATGTTTTTAAGGTATTGTTGTCTGCTGACTAGCTATTGATTTATAAGAATGCTTGAGCTGTAATGCAAGGGCAGCAGCAGGAACATGTAGCTGGAGTTAAAGGAGAAGGATTCTGTTTTGGTGGCAGTATGTTGTTAGATTAGCTCATGAAACAGCTCTTGATGTTTGGTTTGGGTTTTGTTTTGTTTGTTTTTTTGTTTGTTTTTTTTTTCATTTGGGTGGGCTCAGTTCCCTGGACAGCATGTGACCACAATGAATGAGTGACTAGGGCAGGGCAGGGAAAAAGGCTAGGTAGGTAGGTTGCTTGACTTCTAGTTTGTTTTTTATTTGGCAATGCTCACTCATACCAGAATAAAGCCATGTTCAAGTTCTGGCCTAAATGAAGTCCTCTGGTTACGCCAAGAAGTGTTTGGACACTTTAACTGATGTTGCTACTGTGCTATGCATTTTATAAACCTGTATGAACTATGTTCTCAGTTGCTGTTACAGTAACAGGAATATATCATCTCAGACACAAAAGTATTAATTCTTTATCTCCAATTTGATGTACAAGTAAGATAAATGATGATATGCAGAAAAACTTATTGCTAGTCTTTAAAATTACACTTGTCCTGTTAGTAACTAGTCTGGGTGTAAATGCCTGTAGAGGGTTTTCAACTTTGGTCTTAGGTACCTTGAAATAAAGGTTATTTTGAAAAACAGTTTTAAAAATTTTCTTTATTATCCTAGGTGGATGGAAAAGGATCCATCAAAGAACTGTTTCCCACAGGAAAGCAACTGGAACCATTGGTAGCTCCTGTAGCAGATGGAAAAGTTGCAGTTGGCCAAGATGATCTAACAGTTGTGCTCAATGAAGAAGGGATCTGTACTCAGAAATGTGCCTTGAATTGGACAGATATTCCTATAGCCATGGGTGAGAATTAGCAGTAATATTTAAAAATTTGCTTCTGTACTTCTTTGTGTATGAAAAAATTGTATGGTCCTGATATTTAGAAACTAGCTGGGTTTGAAATGTGGCAGCTTCTAAAGTATTTTAGAGTTGTAGAATCATAGAATGGTTAGGGTTGGAAGGGACCTCAAAGGTCATCTAGTTCCAACCTCCCTGCCATGGCCAGGGAAACCCTTCACTACACCAGGTTGCCCAAAGCCTCATCCAACCTGACCTTGAACACTGCCAGGGATGGGGCATCTACAGCTTCTCTGGGCAACCTGTTCCAGTGCCTCACCACCCTCTGAGTGAAAAATTTCTTCCTTATATCCAATCTAAATCGCCCCTCTTTCAGTTTAAATCCATTGCCCCTTGTCCTATCACTACTTGCCCTTGTAAGAAGTCCCTCTCCAGCTTTCCTGTAGGCCCCCTTTGATTACTGGAAAGCTGCAATAAGATCACCCTGGAGCCTTCTCTTCTCCAGGCTGAACAGCCCCAACTCTCTCAGCCTGTCTTCATAGCAGAGGTGTTTCAGCCCTCGTATCATCTTTGTGGCCCTCCTCTGGACCTACTCCAGCAGCTCCATGTCCTTCTTGTGCTGGGGACTCCAGAGCTGAACACAGTATTCCGGGAGGGGTCTCACGAGAGCAGAGTAAAGGGGCAGAATCACCTCCCTCGACCTGCCGGCCACGCTTCTTTTGATGCAGCCCAGGATAAGGT